TCAATATAATCAAATTATACATAATTTATGTTTGATCCATTTATTTATCAAATTTAATTTTTAATTAGATTTAATTCATTTATTTTATAATAAATTAAATTGAACAAACTAATTATCAAATCAAATTTTAAAATTTTTAAAAGATTAATTTTCCTAATTATATATAAGCATCCCACTTTTGATCATTAAGATATCCATAGTGTATATCCTTTTGCCCATGTGAATAAATCAAAAGATCCATTAGCTAGTTTCAAGCCAAGAAAAATAAAGCACGCTAGCTAAGATCAATCATGAGAAAACACTTACTCTCATATTGCTTGAAGTTGGTGCATGCAAAAGTTTTGTTCCCGACTATAACCAAGTCATCAACATAAGAACAGGCTATGGTCATATAAGAACAGGCTATGGTCTTTATGACATTCTTGAAAATTATACTGAGTGCTTATGACAATTTATACCGATTTCGAGAAACTTGTCTTAGTCCATATATAAGGACTTCTTTAATTGACAATTAATATTTTTAAATTCGGGAAAATATTAAAAGAGGGCGATTTTGAAATGTATGACAATTAAATCCAAACATGTTAGATACTCGAGTAACCCCAATCCAACTTTGATGGGAAATTAAATTTCACTTTCATCGAATTTATTCTTCTATATTTTTTTTCAATTTACAAAAGCATAATCAAATTCGACAGTATATTTATTTGTCCCCAAATCCGCGCACCATTTAATAGGTAAGTTAATTATTGCAGTAGTTAAAATTTTAAATAATAATAATAAGATAGTAAATGTGTTTTTAATCTCTAATTAAAGATTTGGTCAACGTTTGGTCTTAGTCTCTACATTTTTTAAACCATGATTTTGATATTTATCACTTTGAAATATAGTAACATTGGTTCCAAGTATCACGTGACAATCATGTCACATACCATGTAATTGACACATCGTACTCACGTGTTTGTCATTGATAATGATAAATGGGACTAACAAAGTTAAAGCAAGAGACTAATTTTATTGATTTTTCAAAACATGATGATCAAAATTATCAGTTTTAAATGTAGAGATTAATATCGATTTTAACCACACAAAAAAAAAAGTATGTAAACCATATTTTATCTTTTTAGGATAAGGAGATGTCTCACCAAATTTATAATTGAATACATCTATCATGTTTTAGTGTCGCTTTCAAGATCAACAATTATTTTAAAAATCAATAAAAGACTTTTTAACTAGGTCATCTATCCCATAATTCTTTTAAGTTAATAACGTTTAATTTTGAAATTTTTAAGTATGAGTTATTGGAAAGTAAATATTTCTTATTGGTATACATAATTTCCTTTTAGTTGCCCTTAATTGTATAAATATTGTATAACTTTTGAAATTTTCTTTTTCTGATGTGTATTTGATTCATTCATGTGTTGCCATTGGAAGTGTACTTTGTTTATGTCTCATCTCTTTTTAAAAATATAACTCACGTCCTCATTAGTGCTTAGGATGCTTCAAAACAAGTGATGTAGGAATTTTTTCAAAACTTAAATAGTATCTTGAGTTTGAGCATCTAAATATGCAATTACATTAAATACTCATAGAAAATTTTTTGTTACTATAATATCTTTATTGAATTAGAATATGATTATTTCTCATTAATGATATTTGTGGTCTAAAACCAAAAAAAAAATGTTAGCAATTTATTAGCATTTCAAAATTATGGATGGAGACTTCTTAAATAAGGTTATAGATCTACAAAATTTATGATTTTTTTAATAAATTTTAATTAATAATAAAGAATATTATAAAAAAAATATTATTGATATGTCTTTTATGTATAGTATCAAGAGGTTAAATCCTATAATGACTATTTGGAAAAGGATTTTACCTAACTTCTACACCTAATGATAATTAGATAACTTTAATCGCGATGATACCATGCAAAAGAAGAAGAAAAAAAAAAACTTAAATTTACTAACTTGTTTAAAGGTATTTTTCATGGTCCTGTACAAATACTAGTTTCCATTAGAATTTTAAAAAGGTTAAATTATGCCTTTTAAAAGAACTTTTTTATAAGTTGGCGAAATTTAAACCTTGGTTTTAGAAAATAAGTCATACCTATTTAGTATTTCAAGAAAAAAAATTGCTTAATGTACCGGAAGGGTCCTATTGGCCAAGTGGACCAACATGTGATGTCCTATCAGACATCGACACAGATCTCGGATACGGCTATGGCCGTAATAACAAACCTACAAAGCCATCAACGGCTTAGCTAGGGCAGTGTTGTTGGTTAAACTTCTTACCCGCGTCTCGGCCTGGCGAATGGCCGAAGCCGAGAGGAGACCCCAACAACACACCCCCCGGCACGTCAGTGGCCGATAAGACCAAAACTTCGATAACATAATGGACTCTACTCCTCAGCAGCTCATCAGCTCAGAAGAGGGCCGAGAACGAAGGACAACCCAACCCTTTATCTATCGGCTCGACCAAAGGCCGAGAACGAAGGAGTAGTCTCACCCTTTTTTCCTATCGGCCCGACCAAAGGTCGATAGAGCCAGGCAATAGTTAGGACGATGATCATGATTAACAAGGGAAACACGCGATTAAGGCATAATCAGCCGATTAGCACCGTATTACCTAATTTGGTAAGTGTCAGAAGAGGCCCACCACGTTAAGGGCCCATGACAAGTAATATAAATAGGTCACATAAAATGAGGTATGTCACTGTTCATTTATTACTTTCGAGAATCGTGTTTGTCCTGACTTGAGTGTCGGAGTGCCTTTTGCAAGTACCTCCTCCCTCTGAAGTATCCACCCGGAGCTCTCATTCGGCCCTCCAATTACCAGAAGATTACAAGTGTACCCTTAGACAGGTACACTTAACATATTTCCAATCCTACAATGCTTACACATAATGTATATTACAACATCATATAAATATGTAATAAGAAAATTATTCATTCATCCTAAATAAACAACAAGTATTTTAATATGTTTTTGCACATGTAAAATATTTATTATATAATTAAAATTTATAATAAACTACATGTTAAATTATACTTTTGATATTTTATCTTATATTTTTTAGATTTATTTTAGTCCTTTATTTGTTAAGATATTTATTTGATCATTTATTTTTTATATTTTGATCAATTCGATCCTTTTAAAATAATAATAATTTTTAATTTTTATTTGAACTTTAGTTACGTTAACATTTTTTATATAAGTGAATTTAATGAGACGAATTTCAAGTCTTAAATCAGTCAAAAAATAATTTAAAATCATGTCTCAAAATTAAAAATAATCGTAGTTTAAAAAAAATCAAATTAGTCCAAATTTAAGAGATAAAAGACCAAAATGAACATTTTAAAATATAAAAGACCAAAATGAATCTAACAAATAAGATAAAGGATTAAAAATATAATTTAGCATAAATTATATATACAAATAAATATTATATTTGAGTATATAAATTATATTTAAAATTTGTATAAATAGACATTTTTTTAGGGGAATAAATAGACATTTTTAAACATATAAATTATATTTTAGATTTATGATAAACAATTTATATTGTAGGACAATATTATTTTTATTTATTAATAATTTATTTTATAAATATTAAAATTTAATTTATAAATAATTATGATAAATAAAAATTAAATTAAAAAAATTCTTAAAAAAATTCTTAAAATTCTTCTCGATGAAAAAAGGCTTCTAAAAATGTTCACATACACTTTAAAAATTTATGTTTAATATATAAAAATTGATTATATTTCGGTGTTAGATAATAACAAAGTAACACTCAATTTTTTCAATAAATCAAAGCACAAAATCCTAATCGTCTAATAATTCGTTAATCAAAAAAGAAGATAAGAGAGTGTAGACATGAAAATTTAAAAGATAGACATATGTTATACCAAACTAGAAATTTATGTTAATTATGCCTCACTCGTTATTTTTACTAAAATTTGACTTATATTTATTTAACACGAGTCATTTTAAGCCATGTATTAATTTTCTTTTTGAAATTTCTAATCTAACTCGAAGAATTGTTTAAAAGTTTTGAAATATACAAATGGTCATACTATTAAATAGAATAAAGAGTTTAAACTTTTATATAAGCTAATAAATTTATATGTTTTTTTGGTAAAACAAATTATCCCATAGTTTTCGACTGTGGACCAATCCTTCAAGATAATGAATTAACAGTTTAAACAAATTAATAAACATGTAATTTCAAGACATTATAATGAAAATTCAATAATACTAAGACTAATAATATTATGCTATTTACTTTACTCATATAAATTAACTTATTGAATTCAAAAGATTTTTTAAATGCTTAAAATTTATTTATTTTTAACTAAACAGATTCTTAAAAAATAATTACCTAATTTAATTTTGTGAATAGGCATAGGCTACTATAGCCCCACAGGCCCTCTGCCCTTTTCCAATCTATGAGTATACGTGTAACAAAGATGGAAGCTTTGTACCAAAAAAGAGAAAAAGAAAAAAAGAAAACACCAAAGATCAAACACTAGCTTAGGCTTTCTTTGGGGATGCACTCTCTGCAAAAGAAGGATCTCAATATCAACATCATCAAGCCTTTTTTTCAGCTTTACCCCTGATCGATCACAATCATCACATGTTCTCATTCTCTAATTGAACACATTTTATCCATATCTTTCCTCTCTCTTTTTCTTCCTTTCTTATGTTTTGGAATGGTCTTCCTCTTTCCTCTCCTTTTGCTAGATATGTCTATGCTTGTTTCTCCTTTGAAACTAAACTAACACTAAGAAGGCCAATATGAGATATAACATCCATTGTTCAAAACTAAATTAACGTGTGAAGCTTTATGTTCAAAACTTCAGTGCAAGATTGAAGGACATTGAGGTTTATTGTTGACCAAAGTTGTAGAAGGCTAAGAATTTCAATCGGTGTTGAACCATTCAGCAAGAGTTAGATTACTTGACATCACATACATGCTTACTAAGTAAAGAAATGTATGAACAAAAGTTTTCTTGGGAGAAAGGAAAAATCCCCTTATACCAACTCATGATGAAAGAATATCTACAAAATTTCAGCTTTTCTTTTAGCAATAGTTTAAGATTAAAGGAGCACAATCTACTATGAATCCTCAAGATTAAAATCAGAAATAGCATATGAAAGTTACAAAAGCAATAACAAGCAACCACAACAAGCCTTACACAACCAAACCAACCCTGTCTTGTGTCAACGAAATTCCAGCAATTCCAAGGGCTTAAAAACAAAACTACCATGACAATTGACAACCTTGCTCACTTGCAATCTACTCCGGCTTCAGCAGCACGGCGAGGCTTGTTCTTACGCCGGCTCCCATTCTGTCGGAATCCAGTGGACTTCATTGAATCATCAGGGCCTGACTTTGCTAGGACGCCATTTTCCTCTTTCTTGGGATCTATCTTCTCTTTAACCTGTGTAGATCTCTTCCTTTTTCTTTTATTTACTGTGATAGCCTGAGTTTTCAAGTCATTGTTAGAACCATTACCTTTCACATTCTCCTCATCTTTCTCTATAATTTCAGTCACTTCCACTTCTTCAATTTCATCTGTCAGTGGCTTTACTGGTCTTCCTCTTCTTCTATAAGCTGGAACTTTATGCTCTTCACCACTTCCAGGATCCTCAGCAATAACAGATTGCTTCTTTCCTTTTCCTCTGCCTCTACCCATTGCCAAAGGACCTTGTTGACAAAATGAACTAAAATATCTCTATAACAAATCTGCACAGACAAAACAATTATACTTAAAAGTCAAGATCAAATAACTGAAACAAAACAAAGATGATAGTCAAAACTGCACATCAATTTTGAGTGATGCTACATGCAAACCACTTCTTGATCAGATGCAATTTTTTATTCTTATTTGAAGAATCACTTGCACCAATTAATTGTTAATTTAAGTTAAAGGTAACAGAAATCAAGTATGCAATTATAACTTTTCTTCAGTTTTTTTTTTACTATTTAAGGATCAAATAAAGAATGCATCAGCTGAAATTCTGGTATGAGCCAAGAGCAAGGACTTTGAGATATTGTTACATATGCTCAGTCTTTCACATGGGCAACATAAAAATCCTTAAACACCGTTTACAGAATGGTTTCTTTGGTAAAAAATCACAAAAAAAAAAAACAGAAGAAAAAAAAAACACAAGCACTGGACTTGCATCCACTATTGCTAAAATTCTGAACCACCAATTTCAGAACAACCAATCAAAGAATCAAGTTATCTTCAATTCCACCAAGGAAAATTACAAAGACATCGTGCAGTGAAAACAGTGCATCTCATTTCAAATCATTCTCCATAGCAACAAATTGAACCACATCGCGGATCACCTAATCCTAAACCGAACCGAACCAATGAAGCCAGCTTCATTTTCTGGCAACACCCAAGAGAAACCCCAAATACAACAAACCTCAATTTCAATGAAAACAGTACATAATATAATGAATCTTTTGAAGCCTATGTTCGATCTAGTTCAAGCTCAATGCAAGTAGACTTGATAAACTCCTCTGCTCCAAAACAATAAGAAATCTATCACTAACAATAATTTAAATCACTTTCCTAGTTCATCATAAGAATCAAAACAGAAGGTGATAAACATCAGAAATAGAAGAAAAAGAAAAGGTAAGCAATAACATTATAGATTTGTGCAGAGAATTGAGATTGAGGAAGCAAGGGAAACAGAAGAGAAATGAAGCTTACCTCCTATCTTGAATCAAGTTTATGCATATCAAACACAACCCATTTTACAAAATCAGATAACAAAATCAAGAAAGTGGGTAGACCCGGATAAAAGCTGTGATTTTTCTGTGAATGGCTTGAAGGAAAGCATAAGAGGGAAGAAAAAAGGGTCAAAATTTTGATCTGGGTCAAAGAGAGATCAGAGAAGTGATGTGAATGAAGAGAAAAATGAGGTGAAAGATAGAGACTTGATGAGTGGAAATGTGGAACTAGGTTAGAGAGAAGTGACCAAAGGAAGAACTGAAACAAGGCATTGAGAAAGAACTCAACAAAGAGCGCAAATAGAAAATGGAAGATAGCTACACTTTCTTTTTTCTTACTATTTTATTTTATTTTTCTAATTATTGCTTCTCTAATATTAATACATATATTTATCACACACAAAAATTTCCTATTTTCCCCTCTTATGTTATTGGAAGACTTGCCAAATACTGTTACAAAAAATACTCAATAAATAATTATTCTTTGAAAAATTTGTTCGTGTAAAAGTATTATAATGTACGATAAAATCATTTTTAACTATTAAATATAGTTGGATACACAAACTCAAAATTATTAATTAAGTTGAAATAATTTTGTATTAATTGATTTACACATGTTTACTAATAAAAGAATGTAGACAAGTTGAATTAAGTCAGATTAAATTTTAAATTTAATTTTTTTAAATACCTATTTAATTGATTTATTTAAATGTTATCAAGCACATAGATTATCCTAACTTAACCAGTAATTTTGATTTTGAATTTTGAGTATACATTGCGTTGAATATACAATTAATTAAATTTTTTTTTAAATTTATGGTTTAACTTGCGGAACAAATATAAAACTTACACTACTAGAATTTTTTTTATTATATGCGACTTTTCCTGCGAATTTTCATAAAAAATTCATAAGAAACGTTATTCCTGTAAATTTTTTTGCGAAATTTTATCTGCAGGTAATACGTAGATAATATATTTTTGCGAATTTTAATATTCACAAAAAATTTTCCTGCGGAATTTCTTGCGAAAAAAATTCGTAGGAAAGTTTCCTGCAAAAAAAATTGCAGGAAAGTTTCCTGCAAAAAAAAATTCGCACGAAAATTTGCAGGAAAGTTTTTTGCAAAAAAAATTGCACGAAAATTCGCAAGAAAGTTTCTTGCGAATTTTTTCGCAAGAAATTTTGCAAGAATATTTTTACGAAAAAAAACTAAAGAAATTACTATAAATTCTATCAATAATTTTTCAACTTTCAAATTCTAAGATTGTAGATTATAAGCTTAATACTCAACCATACAAATCAATTTGTAAAGTAAGTATTGCCCCAACTTATATACTCTTTAATTACTTTATTTTCAATCAATGTGAGACTTGAAGTTTTTTTAAAATATTAAACTTATAAATTTAAATATTTTTTATTTTTCCTGCGGATTAAAATTTTTAGGAAAATTCACAGGAAAAGTTACCTGCAAAATTTTTCTACCAATTTAGTAAACATTACTTGCGAATTTATTTTTGCAAGAAAATCTACAAGAAACAAAATAAAATTTTTGCAATATTTTTTACAAATTTTTACCATGGAAAAAAATTTCTATGATTATTAAAATTGTAGCAAAATTTGTAAGAAATATCTGTAAATTATTTTTCGCAAATAAATTCGCAAAAAATTTCTGTGAATATTTTTTTTGCAAGAAAATTCGTAAAAAAATTTCTGCGAATATTTTTTTGCAAGAAAATTCGCAAAAAAATTTTACAAATATTTTTTTACAGGAAAATTCGCAAGAAAATGACACTTTTCTAGTAGTGTTATATGCCGAGTTTGTTTAAATTATTTGTAACTTAAATTATTTTTTATTTGTCAAATATTTTTTCAAAGTAAATATATTTATTAATATAATTTTGTAGACTAATTCTAATTGGAAGAAAGGGTAAAATTTGAAGAAAGAGGGGGAAATACTTAAACATAAAAGTATATGATGATGATTTTTAAAATCTAAATTATAATTTATTAGTAAAAAAAAAAAAGATACTTTGAGTCTCCATTAAAAAAAAATTGAATGAGTGAGTAGTTATTATTGATAGCAATTAATTTTTTATGTATTTATTTTTACTATTTTACCATTAAGAGATACATTAGTAGGCAAAAAGATTAAAATATAATAAAGTGAAATAAATATCTAAAAAAATGAAATTTTTTTATATATTATTTTAAAAATAAATATATGTTTTTATATAGAAGTAATACTTATTATTATTATTTTATTAACGCTGTTAGTAAGATAAACATAAAGTCTAAGAAAAGATGTGGAATGGTATTTTGCTATCTATAAAAGTAATTTGACATATTAATTTTTTTTTGTTTATAAAATTTTTAAAAGACAATGTAAAGAGAAGTTATTTTTTTTACACCAAAAGAGCAGTTAATTTTAGGGTGAAGAATATCATCTTGTGACTAAATACTGAGAAAAAAAACTTTGAAGAAAATCTTTATCTTTTTTTCTTCGTAAAGCACTTCACAATTTAATTCTTTTTCTAGTAAGAAAAAAGGCATAAATATACAATAAAAAAAATCAATACACATTATTGATATTTTCATTCTACAGCCCAGAGTTATGCAATAATAGTATAATACATATACAATACTTTTACTATCATTTTTAAAGTATTTTTTTCACATGTTTTTTAGGCTTCAAACATCTATTTCAAAAGAAATAGAAAATACGTTTGTTGATATGCAATAAAAATGAATTATAATTAAGTAGTTGTTGTAAGTCTCTCACTAAATAATGTACAACAAATACACTTGGCAAAAATATGAGTTATATATAACTGAGATTGGAGTTAATGTGGCTAGCTACATTGAATGCTTCAATATTGCCATTTAATATTCATACTTGTTTTTTAGGGAGACCTTTGGAAACTTTAGTTTGAAAGAACTTCTTCTAAAAATATAAATTTTGAATGCATTAGTTGCACATTTAATGAATTTTTTGAACATTTTTTTCGATATTTTCAAATTGTGGTGGTTGGTTTTTTCCACTGAGATTGGCAAAGGGTCAGAGATGGGAATATAATTGTATGTAAAAATTGACTTTCTTTAAAAAGAATATAAACTTCTTGTTTGTTTATTTATTTTTATTAACCATAAGTATTTTCTATAAATTTATTCAAAGAGTTAAAAATTATTATGAGTGAAAAAACTCTTCTTCTAAATATTTGATTTAGTTACATATCTATAATTCAAAATTATTAATTAAATCAGAATAATCTTTTACTATTTAATTCTTATATATAATAATTACTTTATGTTTACTTTTGTCTCAAGCATAATGTTTAAGACTAACATGTTTTTCAGAATTTGACCATGATGTTTTATTCTATTTTGTCAAACAATAAAGGAATAATATTTAACAATTTTAAAATCAAATAATTTTTAAATTTTTTTAATTGTCCGGTCACAAGATGATTTTATTTATTTATTTATCAGACTTGAACTTGATAAGAAAAAAGTTTTCAACAATTTATTTACCCTAATAAATTGACTTAAGTTGATTTCCCTTGATTAGTCGGTAGATGATTGAGTCTTCAATTTATTGCCTTACACAACCTTATATTGATCTTCACAACACTATTTTTTTTTCCAACATACAAAATGTCACTTTCTGATTCCAATTCGCTTAAAGTGAACACATTAGCATATAAAATAATGTTTTTCTGCTTATAAAATGTCTTCAACTTATTAAAATATTTTGAGTTTAATTTTTAGTGTCGATAAATTTTGGACTAATTTATTCTTATTTCTATCTCTAAATTCTTTTCATTTTCATTAACTTCTATTTATTCATTCTTTTTCTACTTCAATGATATTTAGTTTTCAAAATTTTTCAGTGTTGAGCATCGGAGGGTTACCACACATACACACATGTCTCCACATTAGTGAAATATTGTGTGTATGTGTGGTAACTCCCCGATACTCAACAAGTAGTATCAGAGCCGATGGTCTGATCAGGTGACCGGCTCGGCGAGTATGATGGCTGGCAGGTGGATCCAAGTTTGGGATCCCTTGTGTCGAAAGTCTTCCTAACGGTGAGTCCACGTGGAAGAGAGGCTTCCCAGTAACATGGAGGGTTAGGAGGCGTGTCCCGCTGTCAAGAGGGAGGTCATGATGGAGCGGTGGTGCAAGCACTCTGAGCGTGAGTGAGCTCTGTGGGGCCACCATCGGATAATACTCGTAGTTTCTGCTGCAGGGGAGAGGATAAACCGTGATCCTTTGCTTGAGGAGAAGATTGTTGAGAAGCAAGCAAAGTCCCACATCGTTCAAACAAAAGGATGGACATGGGTTTATATACACACAGTTATCTCCATTGGTCGAGAGGCCTTTTAAGTGATGTCCAAAAGCAAATCCGTGAGAGCTTGAGCCAAAAGCAGATAATATCTCACCAATGTAGAGACATGTACACTGGTAACCCCCAATGCTCAACACTCACTTTTAAGTAATTACATATTATTATATTTTTGTATTTTTAAATAAAGAAATACAAAGTATTTTTTTCTTAGTATATATATATATATATATATATATATTTAAATATGACTTTTTAAATAAAGAAATCTTAAGCCTTTTGATTGTCTGTATATTTAAATTAAATTTATATTTCATATCCAGAAATATAAGATTAATTTCTTAATTCTTAAGTGAGTGGACTTAACTACTCATTCTGTCATTGTAATTTAAGATTTTTATATAATATTGACAAAATATATCTATCATTTTTATATGATTTTATTAAAATAACCTATCTTTTAAATAAACATATTATTTTGTATTGTAGTAGTTGAATAATTTAGAAGAGATTAATTAAAAAGAAAGTAATTAATAATAATATTTTAATATGTGTACTGTACTAGTAAGTTTATTATACATAATTAAAATTTATAATAAATTATATATATAAATATAAATAAATATATGTTTGAATATATCATTTATATTTAACATTTATATAAATAGATATTAAATGGTTAAATTATTTTTATTTATTGATAATTTATTTTAAAATATTAATATCTATTTTATAAATAATTATGATAAATAAAAATTAAATTAGATAAAAAAAATACAAAAAATACTTACAAATTCTTTCGTAAAATAAAATTTCTAAAAATACTATATTACATTAAAAAGTGAGAACATAATTTATGTATTATATTTTTCAAACGTAAAAACTGTAGTTATTGTGAAGATGGAAGAAATATAAGATTGATTTTGTAAAAAAGAGAATGATATTACAGATAAAACAATTGTTTGAGATTAAAATGAATTTCCACCACAATCAATGAGCAATAACACTATATTTTTTTTATAGGATTATTTTTGGTTAGATTATTAAAATAGTGACTCAGAATGTTTTCGTATTGGCAGAAGCACTTAACATTAGAGTATTAGACTCTTTAACTACTAATCAACTTAGCTTATTACTTTCAGCCGCTCTTACGGTTACGGGTATTTAAACATTACTCCTTGTTAAATATTAACTATAATATTCACTAGAATTTCATGAAATTTTCACTGTATTTAAAACTCAATTATAAGACTTTTTTTTACTGCACTTAATTATAAGACAACAACTATAAGCACCTAAATGATAAAAACATTTTAACAAGTTATTAAATTTACTTGTCGTTCTTAATTTAATTTTAAAATAATTATTGTAGGTAATTCTCTATATTAATAATTAGTCACGTATCAGATACTAATCCTTCCTCAAACGTGTATTATCATTATTACACCTAAATTATATTTGCATCATTATAATATGGGCATCTACAAGGAATTATAATATGGAGTTTCTATTTTTTATTTGAGGAATACTTTGTTGGTTAAATTTCGCTTTCATTTTCATATATCTCTCAAATCATATTCAAGATCAATTATTAATACATGCACACACCCACATTCATGACCATTTTTTTATTTTTTAAAATATTTTTTTTTATTAAAGTATACTTTTAAATTTGATAAGTTTTTTAAATCTAACTTTTTAATATTTAAAAAATATAAAAATATTAGCTCATGTGAAAAAAAATAATAAATTCATAAATTAAAAAAGCAAACTCATTTTAATAAATCAAAATACTTATCGTTGAAACCTAAGAAAAACATAATTTTCTGCTTAACTTGCAAATTCTTTTATGCATTGATGATTAAAAAGTATACAAATAACTTTTTTTTTACAGAAGTATACAAATTACTTGCATATCACAATTTTAACTAAAATAAAGTTTTTTATATTTAACATTGTGATTCTTACTTTTGATTGGTGGTGATATTTTTAAATTTGCTTAATTTTTTTTATTTTTATGAATGTAGTAAACATGTATAACTAAAATACTTTCACAGTTGATACATAGAAAAAGAAAAAGCAATTTGCTATGAAGTTCGTTGGACACTCTTAACGTAACAAAAAAACAAAGGTCTAATAAAATTTAAAAAATATATATATTAAAAACATAAACTTCTTAACATTTACTTAACTATATCAATAATTAAAAGTTAATATTTTGAATAAAATATATTAGATACTACTTAACCCCTACTCAAAAGCAAAATCCAAAATGATAAACACGAGTTAGTAGTTGGACCCGCCATAGAGCCATTGTCTGATTGTAATGATGCCGTTTAACGAGTTCCAAATTGAGTCCAATCTTTAATCATCGAATGAAAGGACAATTCAAATTAGACTCTATATTCGTTCAAGAAAGTATATACTATAGTATTGAAAACTTTGAATTCCAATGGGCAATTGAAGGGAGCCACCTAAACTAGGATTCTAAAGTTAGGATATGAATGGTGGTTAGTTAAAAGTAAGTTCCGTTGCTTTAAAGCTTGCATTTGAATACTGGACTTTTGCCCCAGCAAGAAAGGCAAAAATTCCAACATATCAATGTGCCCGAATCATTAGCCACTAATAGTTCAATGTCACTAATTTATGTTTTCCAAATTCATAGTAGACAAATGTTATAGCAAAAAACATTGTCACCAAAATATGTAGTAGATATCATAAATTACCCATCTTGCGTTCCGTGGCAGCTATCTAAGATTTCATTATTCATCTTCAATAAAGCTGATATTCTTGCTAACTTGCTGTGCTTTGATTTTTAAGGTTCTGAATAATTTCAGTTGGCTCCGATATCGATACTAAATTCAGCAGAGTTGAATATCGCATTCTCTAACCACTTTTTTAAACAAACTTTACTACGTGAAGTTTATTAGAAAGTCAAAAATGTGAGTCTATCTTGGTCATTTTTTTATTTAATGAGTATGACTCGTAATTTTGTACTTTTTTCATAAATTTAAACAACAATAAAGAGTGTGTTACTAATACTCATCTATTACATAATGCCGAACTGCACAGAGCATGTCTGTTCCTCTTAAACAATTTCTTTGGTTGGAAAAAAAACCATGTTAACAAATTGATAGCTTTCAACCTAACAAACCTAATCATCTAATTTTCAATTATAAAATAATACAGTTTCTCATCCTCACCAGTTCCATTCGCCGTATGGTTCATACTTTAAAAATCAAACAGTAGGAAAGTGATCTGCAATGTTGCTGAGGCAAGCGGGTAACAGAAAATCCATCTATAGCTAACATTCTTCCGTCTACAAGCCATGTCATAAATATCTGCAATCAGCAATCATCCATGGTGTTAGCTCATGAAAACCTGTATTCATTAGTTGTCCATGATGGTTTCATGTCAATGCTGTATCTGCTAGCATATCTGATCTTCAATTGGCTATCTTCAATGTCCACTCCATATCTACTAGTCAACTTGAAGTGATTCATTTTAGAATACTAGTTGCAGTCCAATCATCCTTAATAGATGGTAAAAGCTGGAGACACATAACTATCTGACCCAGAAACAGATTGCCAGATTAACCATGCACCACAAAAGTGATTCAATCTCAGTGAAAGACTGAATTTATCATCTCATGTTTGCCTTTCATGGAAAAATACCAATTGAAGTGGTGGATTTCTTCAAACAACTAAGCCTCAGATGTCAGAAGAAATTTGTGCCTTTAAATCCTGCCAAACTTGAAGGCCAGATGGATGGCGCTTAACATACAGCCGCTCAAACGCTTTCTCAGAGCAAGCAATGATAGTGCTCAAAGCAAACCCCGCCTCTATAACTCCCTGCTCTTTGAGCCAATTATACATTGAAAACCTAAGCTTAACTCTTCGAGGCGAATACGAAAGAAAGGAAGGGAAACTCGCCAAATCGGATATAGAATATCCTTCATTCACAAGAAACTCAATCTTCTTGTTGATCCTATCTGTGGTCTGACTAAGAATCCGAGGCGAATTCCTAATCATCTCACAGACAACCTCATAATCCAACCCAGCTCTAACAATAAAATCAAGCCTCTCCTCAAGCTCAGCTCCCTTACCTCTAAACAACTTAATCGCCTCGTTCATTTTCTTTGAGTTCTCCACATACCCCAACTTCAGCATGAACTTCTTCTTCAATTCCTTCGATTCGTACTCCAAATACGAGTTCACCAACGGCTCGATCCTTTTCCCCAAAGCCCAACTTTTCATCAGCAGAGGATCATCACTCACAGTTCTACACAGCCGCTTCTTGCCAACATTCAAGAAAGTCAGCAAAGTAATCGTTTTCTTCAAAGTGAAGGAACCCAACACCAAGCAGTGAGAGTGAAAAATCCTCTCAATCTCCGAAGCCTCCATCTCAATCTCAGTCAAGAACAGAAAACACTGCTTCAAGTTCGACAAAAATTTCCCAACCCGGATCTCCGGAAACTCAATAAACATCCGTGAAACCTGGTCCATGGAGAATCCCAATTTGAACAAAAAAACAACAAGGGACAACACACATCCTCCAGACTCCTCGAAAATCAAACAAGGATGCCGAACGATTAAATCACCCAACTGCTCCTCACTGTAAACCCTACCAAGCAAGCACAAAACCCGAAGCATAACCCCCCAATTACAACAACCCTCATCAATAAAATTGCTCCCAATCCAATCACCATCCTTCCCAACAAGCCCCTTCAACTTCTCCACAACCTTAACAAACTCAAAATCAACACCCCCAACCAAAACACAGGGACTACAAGCAACCACACCCGCCAGCGTCCCCGGCCCAACACCGAGGTTTTCGTACTCCCTTAGCTTGGAGCTCAAAACCCTAGGTCCGTAACGAAACACCTGAGGCGCAAGTTTGAAAATTTTACCCATCTTGGTGCGGGGAACGCCGTAGTTGCAGAGGGTTTGGTAATTGTCCATGAGCAGAGGGTCGTCGTTTAGGTAAATCATGTCACGCGGGAGAAGGGGCGCGTACTCGGGAGGGGTGAGGCCAACGCTCTCGAAGAAGGGCTCGAACTCGTTGATGGGGTGGTAGCGGAGGTAGCGCGAGATGGAGCGCTTGGTTAGGGTTAGGGTAAGGGTTTGGGTTTGGGAATGGGATAGGGTTTTGGCGAGGAGGTCGTGGAGGAAGGAAGGGGAGTTTTTGCACATGTTGTCGGCGTCCAGGAAGTGGAGGCTCCGCGTGGCGTGGAGGTATTCCAGCAATGCGGCTTTCGCCTCTTTCAGGGAAGAGGGGGTTGTTTTCGTATTGGTGGTGTGGAATCTAGGGTTTTGCCAGGGGTGGACGTGGAGGAGGTTGAGTTTTCGAATCTGGAACATTGCGGCTTGCGGGTGCTGGGTACGGTGTCGTTTTCGGGAAGAGAAGACACATCACACATCTCGGCCGTCAACGGCTGACGGCTGCATTCTCCATTTTGAGGAGTTGAGTTTAGGGTGAGGCAGCTGCCGAATTAGTGTGTTTTTCACAAGACACAACCATGTTGGAACTAGTGTTTTTTCATTTTTAGTTCCGTCATCAAACATCATCATAAAAACCTAATATTATTTCACTTTAGTTTTTATACTCCAAACACCATACATAATAACCTACACTTTTGGTTTTATATTAGAATCCTTTGGAAAGTTAAAGATTTGAACATGAAAAACACTTTAGAATTTGATTTTGAATGATGGACTCCATTTAATAAAATCACCATGTAAAATAAGGTTTGTTAATCTTATAAAATCGATTTAAAAGATGATAATTACTTTAACTATATAAACTTTACTGGATTTATAACTTTATTCATGTTAGACTAAATCACTATCCTTGAAACTAGAATTTAAAAAGGATTGCAATCGAAACAAAACAAGGATAACCACAATTGAAGTCTAGAATATATAATTCGGTTTTTGAGATGTATGTTAAAAAGAAAAGAAATTATGTATATGGTAAATGAGACCCCAAATAATTATTACAAAACAGTTTTTGCGATTTAATTTTTTATATTAATTTTAAATTATATCTATAGATTGTATTCAAGACTTAAATACTTGTTCATGTCTACAAATACATTTCAAATGTGTTTTTTTTCTTTTCTTTTTTTGGTTTTGGTGAATTGCATTGCAAAGAGGAGGGTTAAAACCCCATAGGAAAAGATAAACTACACTCAGCTCATTTAAAATAAATTTTTGGAGGAATTTTTTTTTTCTTTTTTCTTTTAGTCCATGTAATTTATTCATTTTTATTCCAATTTCAGTCCTTGTAATTTCTTTTCATTATTAAGTTACTAGTCTCCATTACACCAATGATGTGACACTTGTAAGAACACACATCACAAAGTTAAGGGAAGGACTAAATAACCACTCAAACAATGGCATATGGTTTGAAACTTCAAAGTCTTAGCTTAAATGAAGAAAAAAAAAGAGTAACTCCACTTTAAAAAATTCAGAAATAAATTATATAAATAATTTTTAGTCAATATTACAAGTAATAAGAATGTCAAAATTCTACAAGAGCTATCAAAAGCTGCAAAAGAAAGGTTGCAGAACTGCATTAATAAGCGATGAGGACATGAGAGGTAACTAAGGGCTAAAAAGATTTGCACAGGAAAGCAAAGAAAGGAGTGCCAAAATCTCCACATAGTTACATTCATTGCTTGGGATAGTAATAAGGGTAGTTGTTCATTCCTACAGGTTGAGTTGGCGGAAACCCATGTTGGTCTTTCTTTGCAGAAACTGGAGGATAAGGAATCTGCCCTTGTGTTGAATAAGGAGAGGGTGCAGGGAGATGGTTTGGATAAGGAGGTGCAGAATATGGTGCTACAGTTTGGGGGTAACTGTAATTGATTGGGGGGCCGGAGCTCACGTGAGCTTTTCCAGGCTGCATATATCCCGGGGTCATAGGTAAGGCTGCCATTGGAACCACTCCAGCAGGAAATGGCGCCTGGCCAGTTTTACCTTTGTTGAAATCGGCATATTTTACAATTATATTCCTTCCCTGCAATGGAACAAGAACAATATGTCATAACTTCAATATTTAAGCAGCTTGAATCCTTGAGCTATTGCAAAGGCTATAATAAGTATTTCAGCTAAGGTCCTAAGCTCCAAGCAGTTCATTCACAATGCAAAACATATCAAGCAGTATGAATTCCAATTTCCGTCATTGAGAAAATGACAACTTAAAATCAAAACACATGTGAAAGCAGATTTCTCAGTTTTCACCGCAAGTGCTTAATGCTTCGAGACTGAAGTCCCTTCCAGTATTTGCTCTCTAATTCCTATAAGAACAGGGCCTAAGGGTGAGATTACTGATCAGAGTAGTACAATGTCCTGTTACATATTTTTCCGATAAAGAAAGAATGTCCTCCAAATGAACTACACGAGGAGTAACTATATTTTTGTCAAATTTCGGATAAAAATTTAAACAAAATCAGATGTGTACAGAAAAGTAAAATCTAATATGCAGCTAAAACCGCCCAGTTACCTGAAACCAACATTTTTTAAATAGAAATTTTATTTTTCCCCATATAACTAAGATGCCTTTTCAATTAATGATCTTTTCCATTTTTCATGTTGCAATTCCAAGACATTTAATGAGCATAGAAATAATCAGCTCCTACCCTCACAGCTAACATTAACACCAGACTTTGATAAAAAAATTAAAGTGTTTCCTTACCCCAAGAGTCTTTTCTAAGTCATCTATGGCCTTCTTTGCAGACTCTGCCGTCTTGTATGTTACAAAGCCAAAGCCACTACAGTTGGGAAAAAAAAAAACAATAGTAACACGTTACAGTGAAAAACATGTAAAAAAAGCTACTTACAGTATCTTCAATAGCGATAATTAAGAGAGTTGCTAAACACTTTCTTTTTTAAGTTTATGATTTGAGAGAACAAACAGGAACACGAGATATTTGAAATAGATAATTTGACAGAACAAGTTTTTGGACTTGAAACATAGATTTTGCTCCATATGACTGTTGCAAATATATGAGTGGCTCTATATATGATGACCATTGTTCTATATCATTCGGTTTCTTTCTTTAAAAAAAATAACTGAAAAGCAGCAACTAGCAACCCCTTTTTGGGTTTGCTACAGTGAGCACCCATTTTTTTCAAAAGCAATATTGGTTGATCTCCATCAATGAACACATGCTAAAGTGGGTTGCTGTAACAAATTAGCAACTACCTTGGTCATGCATTGGAGCTGCTCTTACAAATTTTAAAAGCATACAATTATGTATCCAAATAAAGCATGTTGCTACTTTTTACCGTGATTCATTTGTATCCTTGTCATATGCAACCGAACCTTCCTCTATTTCACCATGCCTCAAAAAATAGTTAAGCAGCATTTCACTAGTGACTTCTGGGGATAAGCTTCCAATATAAAGCTTCCTCAGGGAGAGATCAGGAGCACTACTTGTTCCGCTTAGACCCTCACAAGCTAAATTACAGACAGCCAATCTTCCCTGAAAGCAAGAATCTCTAAAATCAACCAGGGGAATGGAATAATGATGGCTGCAGAAAGTCACACAAATTACATGCTTTTTCTTTTTCCTTCCAGGAGTTGGTGAGGGGAGGCACCTACACTCAACTAAATTACAATCCTCCGTGTTTTTTTGGTTATCGATCTTAGGTTTAAAAAATGTCACTTTGCCCAATTGTTTCTCAGTTTGCCCAATATTAATGTCAAAACGGTACAAGTACAAGGTAGGTAAGGAAAAACGGATTCCATAACTCGAGAATAAGCAGGCAAAGTGAACAAACCCTAACCACAGGTCAGCTATCAGTCTCAAAAAATAAATCACATCTCAGATAATCATTGCAATAAGATCTCATGATTTTTTTTGGGGGGGGGGGGGTGTCAGTTAAGGACCTCAAGGAGGCAAAGTCAGTTACAAGTTTACAACGATGTTTCTACTGGGAAACTGCTGAGTCAGCATATAAGAGTTCTAATTCCAAAGCAACAAAATGAGCTAAAAGCTTACATCGATTAACTTGCTAGGGGCTCTCAATGCCTGCTGAGTTGATTCCATATTTTTGAAAGTGATAAATCCATAGCCACGAGATTTTCCTGTTGCTTTATCATAGATCACAGCTCCTTCCTCAATTTCTCCGTGCTCTTGAAATGCCTGGAAAAAAAATATGATTATAAGAAGCAATGTACAGAGAAGAAAGAATTTTACTAGATTCTTGAGATCAGAGACAAGGTACTGGGTTGGAAATAAAGGGATATTGGAAATTTGTATTCTGTAAATAAATCTTGTTGAGCACATTCAGTGTGACATGGAAACAATCACATGCATGACACACTAAACACAATCATCAATGCACTCACAGCACGCAAAGTTTCTGAAGTGGTATTCCATGCCAAGCCACGAACAAAAAGCTTTCGATGGGCAGGATCTGCACTTGCAATACTTTTTATTTCTTCTGCAATGGAAGGATATTGGGACCCTCTTTATGCCTCAACATGAAAACAAACACACATGCACACGGTCAATCACACAGCATACAAGTTGGAGCAATACTTTTATGGCCCCTTTTTCAGAGAATGCAAGCACACCAGGCAAGCAGAAGGTACTAAGTACTAACAATTCAAAGATGACAAATTCACATTGTATATACGCATATATAAAGCAATGCAAGCAACAAAAGCACGATTCTGTTCTGACCAATTCAGGCCAAACAATACCAGACTCTAAGTGTAATAAATTCTTTTCATCAAGCATTTATGATTTGAATTTTATATTTTATGTATAATTAGTCTTGTTTCATCTCGTTATAATTACAATAAAGCTAAATTTGTGGATTTAGAACCATGATGACCATAGAGTACAAGCCTTGGCACAAGAGTAAGGTTGTTGCATTGTGTCCTAGACGTCTAGGACTCTAGGGTTCAATTCCTGAAACAATCTCTCCACTTGCAAGGATAAGGCTGGCCATGTACATCTCTATCCTCCCCAAATCTCGCCATGTGAAAATATCTTGCACTAGGTCGCCCATTTAGAACTATATTGACCAAGTGCAGAGGGGACCCAATTACAATTTCTTTTTCAGTTTGGGAACGGGAACCTATTTAAAAATTCTCAAATAGTTCAGGGAATTACTGATTAATTTAACATAATAATATAAAAAGTGACAAACTGCACACCTACATACCACGTACTTGGTAACTATGGGGTCAACTGGACAACAACATGTGATCAGCTAGAGCCTAGACCATTTACAGAACAGTGCCTTTCATTCCCACATCTCTAAGTTTTGGTACCACTGGGAGTCGAACAGCTTAATGGAAAATGTAACAAGAGAAAAAGATGTGATATTGCCCATATTTTAATTTGTACTCATCAAAAGGGGCAAAATTTTGAAGTTTGAAAATATTCTCAGAGGATGATGCTAGTAAAAATGCTAATTCCTAAAGACTTGACGCTCTTATTCCTGTTTCCTAAAGTCCCACGCTTCAACAATAACACAACATTAAGGCCAAATCCTGCAAGCCCAAACTCAATTACACACTTACAAATCCGACTAGGTTAAAAAAAAAAAACTATATATCAGAGTCCCGAATGGACAGTGCTACCAAATACCAAATCAAAACACGCTTTTCCGGTTTCCACTTCTTCAACAAATAAACGTGTATATATAACAATACACATAAAACATGTTTTGTGAGATGAACGAAAACCAGAAAGCAGAAGAAGATATAGAAATTGGTTGCAGAGAGAGGAAGAAAAGAAGAAGGAATATGAAACGCACAGTTTAGCTAGAAGATCGACGAGCTGTGGTTTAGCAAGAGGTTCAATGAGGAAGCGAAGCTCTTCCTTGGAAGCAAATTCACCATTCCCTGCTTCGTCTAGCTTTCTCTTCTTCAAATCATCCATACTCCTCTTTGTATTCTTCACACACAAACTTCTTCCACAACTCACGACCCAATCTATTAGGTTTATAAATTGGGCTTTTCTTAAAACGAACTCTAAGGCCCGTCTTCAGCCCGGCCCACCTTTTTTATTGATATATAAATAAATTAGTGTATACAACTTACAATTTTGAGACTCGTTTTTTCTTTCCTTTTTTTTTTTGAGAGGCGTTTTTCTTATTTGATTAATTCATTATTTATAGAACGATGCTATATCCTCCAAAAAAAAAAAAAAACAGAGTTCGAATCATCCTCTGAATATTAAATTATTAATATTTTTTAATAAATTTATTATAAAATAATTATTTAATTTAATATTTTATAATTTAAATTAATACTTTAATGTTTGGAATGATTTTCAAAACTTACATTTGAAGGTTCTATCATTTTTCTTAATTATAATCTCTCTCATTTCTTTTCTTTTAACTCATAATTATATAAAGGTAAAATCTTTTTCACGTTCTCTTTATCTTAACCTGATTTTTTTTATTTAATTTTAAATTATAAAAATATTTATAAACTATAAACTTCTTATAATATGGAAAATAAAAATATTTTTAACTGATAATATGCATGTCTTATTTATTTTTTTGTTTTTATTATAAAAAAGTGATTAAAAACTTAAGAAGCTCTTAATACTATGAACCATAATAACATTAATGACATGTTTGAGTTGTCAACAAATTTTTAAATTTATAAAATTAAATAAAATATTTTTTTTTAAACGTCATATAAGTGAATTTTTTTTCATTTGATACGTGAGGGAAAATGAAATGAACTTAGTTATTCAAAATTTAATGCAAAATATTGATATAAATGTTGTGAAATTGGAAAGAAGTGAATGATAATATTATGAATCCTAATGTTTAAGGTATGTGTGTATAATAATAGACTAAATATCTCTTATATTATTTATTTATTTTTTATTGAACTAAGTTGAGTTTCATAAGTTTATTAGAAGTAGATGCCTTAAGGCATGGTGAACATTTACAAAAATATTTATAAATTGTCTATCAACAAAATTCACACACTAGACAATGCAAATCAAATCCATATCTTTTTGGAATATAAGTCTGTTTCTTATCAACTTGACAAATTTTTATTGACTATCCAATATATGACCTTCTTGTATGTTGAATTGAGAGTTTTGAGATATTTTAAAATAAACTTTGGATTTTAGCTTGTTATAATCTAATAGTAAAAAAATAATTTAAGGGTTCTTGTTTCACATACTCATATTGGTGTGGAGACAAAGAATATAAGAAGTTCATGAGTGGTTATGTTTTTTCAGCTATATGACTTCACCTTCTCATGGAGTGTAAAGGATCAATTCACATACTCATTGAGAATATTAACTAGGACAATTTTTTTTTAATATTATTGTGAAGTATTACAAAAAAAAATTATTTAAAATTTAAAATTAGTTAATTTTTGCAAGTATTACAATTAGTAAATAGTTTTTTATATTTATAACTATTTAGCTAATTAATATCAATAATATTGTTTTAGTGTTAGGTCAACCTTTACTAAGTGAAAAAAAAATCAAGATTTGGGAGACAAATACAAAAGGAACTTATTTTAAAGACAAAGTAGGAGGGAGAAGCAAAAGGTCAAATTTTGGTCTAGCCAAATTTTCACGACCTAGCCAAATTGAGGCGACAAACACCAAATTTTCATCGTAACATATTTGGTTAAACGAAATTTATATAGTTGGGTGAATTTCTTATTTTAAGTTGAAAAAATCTCTATTTTGTCCAATAAAATTAATGCAATCAAGTGATTTATGCTCTGTTATAAAAGGAAACAAATTGAATTAAAAAAATTCATATTTTCTCTCTCATTCCCAAACTTTTAATTTCACTCTACACCAAAGATCATCAAGTTTGAAGGCGTTTGAAAACATTAGAAGATCTCGAAAGCGATTTTGACTTCAAGAGCAAAACGATGACACTTTTGCTTTTTTCTTCTTTTTCTTCTTCTTAATGTCTTTATATGTTGATATTTAGTATTTGGAGCTTTGATTTATAACTTGGTTGAAAAATATTTTCCAGATCATGATTTGAAATAAATCACCTAATGGCTTGAGTTGCTACGAATAAAGTTAAAATTATTATACTTTAAAAAAATCTTCTTAATGCAAATTCTCCTTTTTAAATATGCAAGGGATTGATATTTAAGAGAGAAAATTTAAAATTTCTTTACTCAGGAATTAGTATTGAGTGACTCATTCTATATAATATTATAGGAGAAAGATTAACATATATATGTCTTCAAGACTACAAGAAAATGTAGTGTGTGAAATTCAATTCCAAGCATCTCATATATAAATTTCTATAATACCTATTTGCATATTTGTTGCTTGTTTTAAATTTTATTAAGTTGAACTTTTCGTTTAATAAATATACATGAAAATCGTGTATATATTTATTTTTTACTTATCTAAATTAATCGAGAATTAATAAGAAATCAACTACTAAAATTTTAAGATTCTTGGTATTGATATGAAATTATAGGAAACTTGACCATCTTTGAACAAAAAAAGTTAGGAACTAATGGCACAATTTTTCCAATATTTTTTTAATTCTTATTATTTGATATTTTATATTCTTAATTTTCATAAATTATTTTGGTCATTTTAATCTTTATAATTTTATATTTTATTATTTAATTTGTATAAGATTATTTATCATTTTAATCTCTAAAACATATATTGACGTGAATAACATGAGACACGATAATGTAACACTTCATTTGCCACATAGTTTAACAAAGTTGTTTTTAACGATAACAATGAAAAAAAAAATTAACTAATTTAATGAAAATTAAAAATAAAAATATCTAAATTATAGGACTAAATAATATATAAGTAATAAATATTTTACTGAAGACATCTCTTCTAAATAAAAAAGGAAAAAAAAAACATTTTTTGTCTCTTTGGTCGTCTTCCTTTCCAACTTCCTGTTTCTTCTCTTTTCGTTTAAAAGCTGAAACTTTGCTCTCCAGCCATGAAATTTGAAGTTTAGTTGCAAAGCTGAGTTTGTTGTAAAGCATCTCCTTTGAGTTCTAACTTCTTATAAGAAATACTCCTTCCTTCAAAGTTTGGCTACTGATTGCAATCTTTTACGGTTCATCACTTTCACGAATTCAAGGGTGAATTTAGACGTACCGCGGATTGGTATGCACCATAATCAGGCCATAGAAGGACCGAAGGGCGATAGTTTATATTGATCCTAGTCGCAGAGGATTTTGGTACCCTAAACAAAACTTACATCAAAGAAAATACCTTAAAATTAAAGGAGCAGTTATGAATTATAACAACATCTAGTACTAATCATAAGTAATATAAGATAAATGATAAATTCAAGTAATATTAAAAATAATGTAATTAATATGATTATTTTTAATATATCATAAACTTAAGTTTTTTTTCTTAAACATATTATTTACTTTTTAAATTTTGGGCCAACTATCCCACCCTTTGAGGTGCCTCCAACGTAGCGAGGAGATTAGTCACTGCTGTCGGCGGTGGATATTTCAGGGACGAAAAAAAAAAACATATTATTTACTTTAAACAGTTATTATATTTAAATGTTAGTTATTTGCGAATGTATAAGAAATAAAATTAATAATTAATAAAGATTATAAAGAAATTTAACTTTGATTAATTTTAAAAGTTAATAACTATTACTTATAGAAAAATTTAACTTGTTGCTAATAATTAAGTCAAGAAATAAAAGTCAGATTTCTATATGAAATATAGTTAACAATAAATCGTATAAATACAAGTATCATAATATTTATATACGACCCAGTTAGTGTGAAGATGTTTTCGGTTCTTCTCTCAATTCTGTGATAACCCTTTTTGTGTGGGAGTGTTCACAGAGCAGACTGGAGGTGCTTACATTCTGAAGTAGCTGCCAAAGGCAAAAAAATTCTTGATTGCCAATTGCAAGAAAAAGGAAGCAAAATGGTGTTTGCATGTGCCCTAGCCATGCCACATGACAGCTAGGAAAATAGAGTCACTTATTTATCAAAACAATTGATTCATATTTTGGGGATAGGAGCTTCCAGTTCTGTGTCAACTGTCAAGGGTTCTTCTCCTGTTTGGTTCTTTCCTTTTGGTAATCTAGCATTACTTTCAGCTGCTGGCTCTGCTGTTCAATTAGCACTTGCAAATTTCGTTGCATCTAAGCCCAAAGGAAAAATGAACACAAGATAGTAAAGGGTTAGTGAGTCCAAATTAATGCTTGAGTTTCATAAACATTTTAATTGATGTCTAATAGATATTTCCATCAAAGCAATTCTGAGCATTACCTCTAGTTGTTGGCAAATATTCCTCCGGACCTCTAGCTGCAATTGCCGTGATTCCTCAATTTGCATTTGGCTGCAAATTGAAGAGCATACATTTGAGAAAGCAAACATGGCTACAGTTAACTTCTTGAGTCTTGACATTTTAGTGAGAAAAAGCTCTTAATTGAAATAAAATAGTATCATAACAACACAAGTTTAGATTGCCATAGTTTAATTGATGTTACATTTTGACTTGAAGCTCAGCCACCTCATCTGTTTTATGTCCTTCCTCGGATCTTTCTGAAAGAAAAACTGGTAGCTGTATCATGATATATCCCCAATACTAGAAAATGAAATTATAGAGCAAATTACACTCACATTAAAATTTTGTAAGATTACACACAACTCCCTGATCTTTGTAACATTGAGCATAGAAAAAGTAATAAGTGTTTGTGCAATCTCACCAAATTTCAAGAAATATCATTATAATTTACTTGTGAAATTATAGTTCAACTCATTTTTAATTGTATATTAATAATCACGAGCAAACAAAGAAATAAATAAAAATATGATAATACTAATTTAGGCACACATTCTAAATTAGATATTCTCTTTGTTCTTTATTATAAGAAAAAAAATTGATTTATACATATTAAGAAAATTAGTTATTTATAATAATTTTTTATTATTTTAAAATATTTTTTTTTTCTAAATTATCTTTATTATAAATGTCAAAAGAAATAGTGCAACTGAAATGTCATATATTAAAGAGAGATATTTTTTAAAGATGTCATTAAATGGGGTAAAATCAATTAAAATTTACTTATATTTAAGAAAAAAAAAATGTATTTTTTTTTTCTTATAATAGAAATAAAAGATAATGTGTGTTTAGCCAAAGTATTTAAATATGAGAAGGTGAAAATTTGAGGAATGTGAATGAGATGTATCTGAACTATAGTATGTCCTAATACCTTATCAGATTTCATATCTAATTTCCACCTTCCTCTCTTCACTCTTATCGAGCACACCAATAGTATAGTTCAAAAGAAGCATTTTTAAAGAATTTCACGAGGTATGCATGGCAGTAATATACAACACATGGACAATGACAGAAGTAGTTTACCCTGTAAATCTTTGTGCATGTGTATTGTGGACCGACATTTCTGCAAGACATTTATATTAGAAACATTAGACAATAAATAAGGTGCAAAAGTAGATACTATGCACAAAGCAATTGTTTATTAGTGGAAATAGTTTTACCTGCAAATGACTTTTAACGTGAGAAATGGACAGCAAATCTGATTTCATCATCTCTAGTATAGCCTTTGGCTTTGCCTCTGCCATTAACAATGAATAAATCAATTATTAGGTAACAACTAACAAGAGTGAAGAGGTTTCTTTGTTGTTACGTGTTACTAATACTATTATTTTAATTTGTTAACTTACTTTCGGGGCCACCAAGGCTTTTAACAATCATCATAAATGGTTCATGCAGATCTTTGGTCCATTTTATTCTTCTTTTGCCTCTCCTAAAAGCAGAGTTACTTGAAGTTAAACAGGCACCCCCACAATGTTGACGAGGACCCTGCTTTTCTCGCTTTCTACACGAGACCAACTAGCAAGACATATTACATCTCATCAGCCAAATAAAGAAAAAGAAATATAATACAAAGTAGTAATAAGATGCTCAAATAAATTGTTTACGTTTCTGAAAGTAAAAAATTAATTTATTTCAAATTTTCTCTTATTCCGAGTGTTTATGAAAAAATTTATTAAAATCTGACTCAGACAATTTTTAACCGGTGGTTGAAGATTCTTAAAAAAACTAGTTCTTATGGATTTTCATCATCAGAGCTTGTTGATGTGTTTCTCGATAATAAAACCGATTCTTATGTAAAAATTGAGTTCTTATCATTAAAATTATTGACAAATTTCCAAAAAAGAAAAAAGAAAATTAAGGATTTGGATTTTGGGTATTATTATTGAGAAACTCGCTCCTTCTCTCTTGTGGTGTTACAACCTCATTCAATTATTGACCCAAAAGATAACTAAATCAAAACTCTTAGATTTCTTTAGGTACCATAGATTTCAAAATTATTTTGCTTAAAAAAAATATAAAGACACGGGGTATATGTTGACATGTTGTGAAACTCATTTTAAGTTCTTAAGGGTTCTACTATTAAAGTGAAAATTTGTTGGACTTCTTATGTCCTATATGGAGTCAACTAAAAGTAAGTCATGTTCCTATGAATGAGTTCTACATTGAGATGATATATATCAACAACTAATCTGGGTATCTGTGAAGCATGCGTAACTAAGAATTTCTATGCAAGGTAAGACTGTAAGATTACTTATTTTTCCTCTAAACCAAGCTAAGGTAAAAGGCTCACATCTACTCCAATTTTTGTTAAAGAAAATTAAGGATGAATAATTTCATACCAAATCATGTATACTTTAAATGGAATCAGAAACTACTAACCACATATTAAAAAAGTAAGAACCTGGTTTCTCTGAAAGGAAATCTCAAGGGGCCTTTCATCTGTGGCAGCATCATCCCTCAGTAACTTATCATCTTGTGAAAATTGATCATAATATGGCACACTGTCAGGCTGAATATCGCTATACTTTTCAGAGCAAGCAAATTTACAATACTTTTCAGAAGAAGAAGGACAATCTGAACTATTACTAGACAAGAAAGATTCAGCAACCGGGCACAATAAGGAGCTTGTGAATTGTGAGGATGGTAGATCTTGCTTGGTACTGGTGAAGTTATCTCCAGAGTCTATTGTTGTTGTTGTCGTCGTGGTCTTTGGAAACTCAAAGCACCAAGCAGGAACTTCAATCTGATCATGTTGTTGAGCTTGAAAACTCACAAGGCTTCTGGTTGCACAAAAACCTGGTGGAGTTTGAAGAGGAGTGGTCACAATGTTGAAGGGTGATTTTGTTGGATCAACACATAGCTGTTCTGATGAAACAACCTTGGCTAGGTTGGTAATTCCCATGTAGGATTCCCATTCAGTTCCGTACATCTGGGAACTATACTGATACATGTTTGATGTTTCTCTGATCACTTGACCCAACCTACACTTCTATACACTTCAGCTAATTTAATCACTCCACTTCTATGTGATGCTCATTTATATGCCAAACCCTAGAACAAAAAAGGCATTAACAAACCGTGCCCACAAAAGACTTCAAATATTTGTTATTTAAAGCAAGAGGGAGTGTGAGAGAATAAAAAATGAATTGGATGAACAGTGAGAGGAAAAGTTAACAAATGTATACAGACATAGTTGTGTCCTCATACAATGCGAAATTTTCGATGTATGAGGACAAAATTCTTGTCCAAATACATTCTGACCTAAGAAAAATATCATGCAATGTAGCTTCACAGAGAAACTAATAGTCACTCATTCTTTAATTCCAAGATGCAAGAGAGACATGGTTTGTTTAATATTCTATAATTACTCAGCAGCAATAAGCACAACAATGCATTACTTTGGATCCGTCGGATACCTCCTATGCTCTCAACCTATACTCATCTTGCATTCATTTGAAAAGACCGGAGTTAAAAACAAAAAAAATATAAGAGATAGTTTATTACTATTGGGAATAGCATCACAGTTTTAAGATCAACATAGCTAATATGGTTGATCTCTTTTGGTTAAAGAGAATAATATAATGTAAAATACAGGAGTACAAGAATCTGAGCGAGTCCCTTTTGATTTGCTTAGTTGGATGACCAGAAAGTCGATCTCTTTTAATTAGAGTAAATACTATTTCTTTGTTTATATACGAGACGACTATGTGTTCATTGTAATTTGTAGAAGACTACACAATATTGGTGAATCAATGCGTAAATTAATTATTTATTTGGGGGGTAATATGCATAGTAACAAGGGTTAAAGATTTTTTTTTAAAGATGGATGGTGTAAAATAATTTTACATTCCTTTTTTATTATTTATTATAAAAGTTAATAACTTACATACTTGATTTATTCATTAAAAACTTTAATTTTAATGGTTGAATTATTAAAATTTAATGTAAAATACGAGTTATTAAAAAGAGTAAGTTTAAGTAGACTTATTCCGAAAGTAAACAAATGTCTCCTCATATATATATATATATGTGTGTGTACATGCATGCATGTACGTATGTATATACGTGTGTGTGTTTTGGAAAATTAAAAAGGTTAAATACTAAAAAAAACCTTATCAATAAGTTATGAGCAAATCAAACAAATAAATTTGAGTTACATCTTAACTCAAAACTTTAAGGTATTAAGTTTATGAGTCATTTTTACTTTGATGTTACTTCTCAACTTTATCTAATATAGAATTCTCATTCATATTTGAACATTAATAATCTCATTCTCTTTCCTTAAATGTGAATCTCTTCCACATGCTATATTTCTTCTCCAACGGAAGTCTTTTTTGTTCGTGAGTATTTAATGGAAGCCCTTAAAGTTTAACCATTATTGTTTCTACTCTAGATATTTGCACCTATGTTAGATCACATTAATGTGATATGTTGTTTGACCTCCTCGTTGCTAAGAAGACTTTCACACAATGGATCTCATACTTCAATCTACTACATTTCATTATTGTCCAATACTTGTTTGAGTTGATTACCTATTCAAATCATTGACTCTAATGTCATTTGTTGGTAACAAGAGGGAGTTAAATAATGGAGAAAGTTCCATCAATAGACCATGAACAAATATCACAAGTAAATTCTACACAAAATCTTAACCCAAAACCTTGAAACACCATGTTTATAGGTCTTTCTCACTTATATGTTATTTAATATATTTAAATTTATCTAATATGAGACTTTCATTCAAAGTTGAACAATTTTAACCCTTAAATTGAAATAAACAAGGTTAATTAAAATATTACAAACAAAGTTATCACATACTATTACCATCCTAATTATCTCTATCATTATCAATGTCACTACTATCATTGTTATCATAATTGTCACTACCACCTTTGCCAACGATGGTGGTAACGAAAGTGATAGTGATATGTAAATATGTAATGAATAAACAAGTTTTACACAAATAGAGAGAGAGAGGGAGAGGAATTTCTTTAACATATGTAATGAATAAAATTTATTGATATTGATGCATAAGTTTTAATATGAAGTAATATCTCCACATCTCCACCTTTTCCATGAAGATTTAATGATAAGAATGCTAAAATTAATATATCATGATTTTGTTTTATATATTCAATAAAATTAACTAATATAATTACTTATATTGATACATGTAATTTGATTAAAAATACCTTATAATAAGGATAAATGAAAGTAGATGGAAATCGAGAGTTAAGAAAATTTTCTATAAAGATCTAAGAAAAACTCTTAAAAATATTTTCACTAATAGTTATTTGAATTTATGTAAAGAGGTTATTTTTTTGTTTAAATTGAAAAAAAATGATATCAATTGTTACGAAGTATTTTTTTATATTTAAGATAGTGGTATGGTTACTATTATTATTATTAGAGAAATTTATAAATTAGAAGAATTATTTTGAGTATTTTTTTAAATTGTGGTATGGTATGGTTAATAACTATAGTTTATAATAAATAAGTATTTTGAAACGTGTAAGTTATATTATAATTAAAATTTCTGATAAATAAATATTTTAATCTATAAATTATATTTTAGAATTATAATAAATAATTTATATTGTGATATAAAAATATTTTAAACATTAACCTTTTCAAATATCTATTAAAATTAAATTTAAAAATAAATAATAAATTGAAAGTGATAATAGATTGACAAATATTCAGAAAAACATTCATGTTAAGTGAAACTCTCTAAAAACATTGTTGCTTAATATAACTATTATAATTTATATACAAGGAGGATAAATAATCAAATTTAAAACTTAACACTTTCGATAAAAAAAAATGAGATTTATACAACGTTAAATATTTTATGTTATAATTAATGCACATGTAAATCAATTAATATGATATTTTAGTTTAACTAATAATCTTAAATTTTAATTTTGAATATACAATATTGGAAAGAAAGAAAAAAAAAACCATCGTTACCTATATAGTAAACCCACCTCTTACTCATATCGAAGTGAAAAATACATATATTCTATACTAAAAGGCAAGTGTAGGTAGTGACAAAATACTCATACCTAGCTTGAAGTGAAAAAAAAAAAAAAAAAAAAAAAAAAAAAAAAAA